CGCGCAATTCGTCGAAGTGAGAGTTCATCTCATCGAATTTGGCTCTGCTGTCTGTTACTCGGTCGCTCACACCTACAATGCTTGCTGATTTTTGCAACATTAACACTCTTGTATCCTGAGCACTTCCACTTGGGCCTGCGAAAGTTTCTACTATCAGGCTTAAGGAGAATTTGGCGCTGAAGACACATGGGGTTCCTAAAATACTACATCATGCTCATCCTGCAAACACGGGATGCAGTTCTGACTTTCTTCTTTTCTACTGAATACCCTTCGATTTTTCTTTCTCTTGCCTGAATTCCCCTCAGCCAAAGAAGCTTCCAACACTATGTTCGACATACGGACGTGGTGAGCAGAGGGCATGCTCTGTCTGTGGCCAGTTTTCAAAGGTGAATTTTTCCAGATTTTTGCCCATTCAGCTATGATCATTGGCTGTGGTGTGTCATAAATAAAGCTCTTATTATTTTGAGGTATATTCCATCAATACGCGACTTTATTCGAGCATCTTTTAGGCATGAAGCGGGCTGTTGAAACTTTGTCAACAGCTTTCCTGCATCCTAAATTGCGATAATCCCATGTGGTTCTTGTCTTTATGGTTGCCGTTTGTACTGCCTGATTATGTTCTTGACTTTGCGAATGTTGAGCGCCAGCCACCCTGTTTCCCTGGGTGTCAGCAGCAGAGGCTGCAGAAGATAGAATATTGCTGAACAGCGAGTGTACCTGTCTGATTCTTGCTTTAGAAGCTTCATCTCAGGGGTATACTCCGCCATGGGAGGTGTGTGGTGTCAGTCTGCCCCTAGTGGAGGATGTCTCCCAGTTAGGCTACTCAGGGTTCAGGGACCCACTTGAACAGGCAGTCTATTCCTTCTCAGATCTTAACCTCCGTGTTGGGAGATCCACTGCTCTCTTCAAAGCTGTCAGACAGAGTTTGCATCTGCAGAGGTTTGTGCTGCTTTTGTTGTTGTTGTTGTTGTCGTTGTTGTTGTTGTCATTGTTGTTGTTTAGCTGTGCCCTGTCCCCAGAGGTGGAGTCTACAGAGACAGGCAGGCTTCCTTGAGCTGCTGTGAGCTCCACCCAGTTCCAAAAAATACATTTCTTAAAATTTTGACATAAGGAATCCATAGTAGAAAGGAGGAATAAATGAAATAATATTATAAATAGTTTAATTAAATATCTAAAATGCCTCAGAACATGATGATTTTCCTGCTGAAAAATTAACTTTTATTATTATCATTATTGTAATGGACTTGAAATTGAGATTGAATTTTGATACCATAAAATCCTCCTCTTTGTGGTATAAACTCCAAATATATTTACTATGTTTACAGAGCCATGAAGCCATCATTATCCCATAATTTTAGAACATTTTTATCAGCACAAAAGAAACTGCAATGATACAGAACTCACTTCCTATGACTACTCTGCCCTAGTCTAACACTAATTTGTTTCCTTTCTCTAGAGATTATTCTCTCTAGAGAAATTTCACATAAATGGAATTATACAGTTTAGGGTGCTGTGTAAATGACGTTTCACCTAGCTTAATTTTTTGTTGTTTTTTATGGTGTTTGTTTTATTCATGTTGTTGTGTGTTTTAATACTTCATTTCTTTTTATAGCAGTTTAATATTTTTCAGTAAGGATATGTCATATTTTAGTTGTTAACTTCTCAGTTCATTGGCCTTTTGATTGTTTCCAGTTGTGGTTACTAGGAATATTGCTACACAAGTTTTTGCATAAAACTGTTTTCCTTTCTTTTGAGTTGATACTACAAGTGGAATTGCTGGCTCATGTGGGAACTGTATGTTTATGAAGAACTGCTAAACTGTCTTCCAAAGTACTTATTTCATTCATCACTACCACCAGCAGTACAACGTGGTTACAATTCCTCCATACTTTTGCCAAGCGTGTCATTATCTGCCTTTTTGTTTAAGCCTTCTTGGTGTAAAATGATCTCTCATCCTGGTCTCAGATTGCATTTTCATTACGGCTAAAGACATTGAGAATCCTTATATGTGCTTACTGATCATTCATGTATCTTCTTTGAAAACATGTCTACTACAATCCTTGGAACATTTTTAAACTTTGTTATTTGCCTTATTAAGTTTTAGGAACTATTTATATATAATGGGTCATGTCAGATATATGATTTTTAAATATTTTGTCCCATTATTGGTGCACTAAATTTTCCTTTTTGATGGTGGTCTTTGAAACACAAAAAAATACAATTTTAAGTCAAATTTTTAATATTTTATTTTTTCACACCCAAAGATATCAATGTGCAAAATTCCTTGCAGAGTCCAGCTACCATCGATTCAGCATTTATAACTACTATCAATAATGCTTTTAAATAAGAAGGGTATCATCTAAAGGAATACTTTAAAAATACTTCATCACAAAAAAAGAAGGTTAATGAATGATAAAAACACCTTTAAAGAAGATAGGAAATAATTGAAAAGAAACACAAACCAACTTGGACAAATAGAAAAAATATATATAAAGCAAGCTGGTAGATTTAAATGTGATTATATGAATACTTTTATTCAATCTAAACAGACTTAAAAAAAGAGCAAATAATGGGTAAAGACAAAAAACATTTGAAGAGCACAGTCAACAAATGGAATCTTATAATGTAAAGTGATACACACACATGAATATGTGTACATATACAATACATATATATGTATTATATATATCAACTGGAAGACACATTTTCTTAGAGCATGTCGAATAGTTATTTGATGTGATATGTGGTGGGTAATAACTAAGGACTTAGTAAATATAATAAGATTTAATGTCATAGAAACTGTGTGATGCAGTCATAGTGGAAGTAAGGGAGGTTATAAAAACTATAGCTAACATATCTTTACATTTTAGAGATAAAAAATACACTTCAAAAAATGTTAGAGTCAAGAAGTGGATCATAATTATGCATCTACTTTTAGCTCAGCAATTCTACTCTCAATTACATACCCAAGAGATATGTATAAATATATAAATATAACACCATCTAGAAGAATGTTTATGACAGAATTATCAATAGTGTCTAAAAATTATTACCAACCCAAATATGTATTAATCACAAAATGAAGAAACAATTTGTGCTTTCTCAATCAAAAAAATACTACACAGCAATGGAATTACAGAAGAACTGCTACATTAATAAAAGACACTAATGAGTACATATTATATCATTTAATACATAAACAAGCAAAACTAATGTATGCTAGTCAAAGTCAGGCTAATATTTAATTGGAGGACAAAAGTAGTGACTAAATGGATCAGAAAAAGAGAATGATTCTAGGCAGATTGTGATATCCTATACCACGATCTGAACAGTAGGTAAGTAGATATCTTCACCTCAAAATAATGTTCAAGGTGATCTTACATTTTTGAACTATTCACTTAGTGTACATATATTTGTCTTTTGTATTTAATATTTAAATGTTTATTTTATGAGATATATAATGCATTTTAAAACTCTAGAAATCAAATAGCAAAATAAGCACAGAAAATAGAGAAAATCCTAGAGGTTCCATCATAGTGTGGTCAGTAAAAGCCTCTCTTAGAAGTAACATAAGAAGGAAGCCATAGAAAGGGAGAGAAGTATGCCTTGGGTTGTAGCAAGAGAGAATACTCCAAGAGCAGGAGTGAGGGAAAAAAAATGTGTGAGGTGCTAAGACAAGAACACCTTTGGGAGCTTAAAGAAAAAAATAGAAGGCCAACCTAGAAGACGGTGTGCAGGGGAAAAGTGTTAGGAAAAGAGCTTGCCAGTGTCTAACAATGTAGGGTTCTGTAGACCAAATAACAGAGTTGGATTTTATTCTTTAAATAATGAGAAGCCAGGCAAAAGTCTTAATCAGGGGAGTGCTATAAACTGACTTTAATTGCAAAAAATCATTCTGGCTACAGGGTGGGAAACAGTAGGAGACAAAGAGAATGTAGAAGCAAAGTGGCTAGCTATGAGGCATGTCACTCACCATGACACAATTACTTTTAGGAACTTAGAGATGATAATTCTCATATTGCATTTTCACGATCTTTCTTACAGCACTTAAAATGGTTCATGATGTTAAGCACATTCTCATATGTATGTTTGAGAACTAACAGTGTAATTGAATTGTTCATAATACAAAGGAGAAATGTTTAAGGGATGAATATCCTATTTTCCATGATGTGATAGTTTCACATTGTATCAAAGCAACTCATATACCCCATAATTATATATACTTAATCTGTACCCAAAAAAACTTAAAATTAAACAATTAAAAGCAAATTAAAATGCCTTATATTTTCTCTGCTTCAAAAAAAAATTAACTTTCTCACCTAACATTCAGTTTCTACTTTAGAAAATATTTGTCAATGAGAAAAGTCCAATTTAAAAGCCAAACTTTCTATGATGACTCAAATTAAAGTACACAAATTCTATGTCAATTCTTTGACATTTTCTTTGAACTATTTGGCACTTTAAAAGCCTTTCATAAACTTGATATGCACAGACACATTAACTTACTTTCAGTGTTAGTAAGGGAAGAGATCACTCCTCATATTGTCTTATGCCCAATTTCTGCCTCTAAAGAAAAAAGAAGTAAAAACTAAAAGGCAGAAATGAAATGAACAAGCAAACAGCCTGGTGCCACACTCTGGGCCTGATAGTTAAAGATCGACCCCTGACCTAACTGGTTATCTTCTCTATAGATTACAGGCATTTTATGGAAAAGCGTTGTAAAAATCCCTGTCCTCTTCTATTCCTTTCTGATTACTGGCGCATGCAGCTCCCAGTCACGTACCCACTGCTTGCTCAATCTATCACGACCCTCTCTTGTGGACCCCTGTAGAGTTGTGAGCCCTTAAAAGGGACAGCTCGCTTGGGGAGCTCAGTTCTTGAGACAGGAGCCTTGCTGATGCTCCCAAATGAATAAACCCCTTCCTTCTTTAACTCGGTGTCTGAGGAGTTTTGTAAAAGTCTCTTCCTGCTACATTAGTATCTTTATTTTTATCTTTCAGGTATAAAGAGAATGTTATGAAATTATCAAGAATTCAACATGATCAACCAGTGAAGCCCCTGGATCGAGCAGTCTTCTGGATTGAATTTGTCATGCGACACAAAGGAGCTAAACACCTTCGGCCTGCAGCCCATGACCTCACCTGGTTCCAGTATCACTCTTTGGATGTGATTGGGTTCCTGCTGGCCTGTGTGGCTACTGTGATATTTGTCATCATGAAATGTCTGTTTTGTTTCTGGAAGTTTGTTAGAAAAGGAAAGAAGGGAAAAAGTGATTAGTTATATCTGAGATTTGAAGATGGAAAACCTGATAGATGAGACTACTTCAGTTTATTCCAGGAAGAAAGATTATGATGCAAGATTTCTTTCTTCCTGAGACCAAAAAATAAAAATAAAAATAAAAACATTTTCAAAATTTACTTAGTCAAATAAAAATTTGTTTTTCAGAGATTTAGCAGCCAGTTAATGGTTAGTAATATTTTGTGGAAATGAAGAAAACACTTCAGAAAACACAAAATAATGTAAATCCATATGAGCTTGTATTGAAATTTGTTGGACTTATATTGAAATTTGTTGTTCTAAATCATAGTTTATACAAAAAATATTTACTCAGCTTAACTATATTTCACACATTCTACATAAACACAAGAACATGAAGAAGTCCACTGACAGTATCAGGGCGGTTTTGCACATACTCAGAATACTTTGGCTTCATTTTGAACAGGATTGTATTGTTTTAAC